TATGTCGAAAAATTCTTGAAACAATACTTATGAAATTATGTACGAAATTAATAACATGTATTTATGATTTTTTATTTTATGGAAAATCCAATTTACGATAGGAAATTTAATTGTATAATTAAAGAAACCCTTTGGTCAATTGTATTTTTATCAGGACGAAATTTGCCTACTCCCCTTTTTATAAATGTCTTTTTTGGTTTTATACAAATTAGAAATGCTTACGCGAAATTTACACGAATTTACTTATATTTATAAATAAATAATTCATGCTAAACTTCGGCTTGTCGAAGGTTTAATATCCTTGCAGAAAGATGTTCTCTTAGCTATAGTAACAATCCAGTAATTATTCCGTTTCCGTTAATATATCTGTATAAAATACTTGCATTAATATATGATTAAATATAGTCAAATCTTCTGCTTGGATATACATCTAGGAAATTAGCTGAATAGCTGATTAGCTTAATTACTGTCAATGGCTTAAGTGCATTTAAATATATGTATATATATTATTCAACGAAACAATTATTTTAGCGGGATGAAACCGCGAGCGACATCACAAAGATGTTCGAGCCATCGACCCAAAATGCGGATGTTACGCCCAGTGGAGGAGCTGCCGATGGATCAAATGCGGAACAATCTGGAGTGGGTGAGACGAGACCACGTGAAGCTTCTGGCCAAAGTAATGTGGAAATGCCAGCAAATACAGCCACGCCGCCAACAACCACGTCGACAATGTCCTCCTCTTCGACTGCTTCGCGCGATGCGGGCAACAATAGCAATGATGTGACAATTGGCTCTGGTTCCGTCTCACGCAAGACCAGCACCGCCTCGGAGTACACATCGCTGTCTATTGACTACATGCCGGACAACGCCATTACGCCAACAGGCAATGAGCCATTTCAGCCACTGGATGGCAGTCTGGACAAGCCGCAATCTGAGCAAAAGGCACGCAGCCTGGCCATAAGCCGCGTCCAAATGCTGCTGGAGTCAACGAGGAAAGAGGCGAAGCCTAGAAGCTTGAATTTGCCATTGAATCGGCAGTTGAAGATTGTGGATGATTTGAAGCACACCCGCAGCCTGGACGACCTAAGCGAGGTGAACATCACATTCGAGATGCCGCCCAGCAAGGCGGCCAAGCAGGCCAACGAGCTGAATGCAGCCAATGCGGACAAGTCCAAAGAGAGTGGCGTCCAACTGGGTGCAGTGCAGCCACCAGGTGCGGCCAACACGCTGGAGCAGCTGAAAATCGAACTCGAGAACATAACACACGCGCATGCCTTCGCCTCCGCCGTGGTGGCCTCCATCAACAACAGACCCTCGCCGAACATCGCCTCGATGAAGGCGCTGTCCTCCGCCCAGCAGCACGCCCAGTCCGAGACAGTGGTTGGTAGTAAAACTCTTGCTATGTGCTTACACGTTAATCGTAGAACTGCGTTATTCCATTTGGCTTATCTTCCTTTTTAATTTTTAATTTTTATATATTCTAATACAAAACATTTATGTATATGTATTGTGTAGATTTGCGTATTTGTTGTTTCTTTTTCTGCATTATAATATTGCTTTTCGTTTTGTTGTTCCTTTAATTATTAATATTTGTATTTGTGTAAATCTCATTGTTGAAAATTGTATATAACTTAGCATAAGCGCAAATTTAACTAATTTCGATCAAATAGCTTGGCAAAACTAAAATGCTTTGCTGATGGAGGGTATATAAAATTTAATTTAAATGTTATAAGAAGAATATTCAGTTTGTTTTTCAAACACAAAGTCCTTGGATCCAGCAAATAGCTAAAGAAAATATTCACATTAAAAAATTACTTTCATTCATTTTCTTCAGTTTTTTCCCCCCATATATTTTTCCTCGCATTTATATTTAAAAATATTATATATTTATGAAAAGGAAATCATTTGAGACCATCTCAAATATGGAGTTTTTAGTCCGCACTGGTTAAGGGTATTCGCTTTGTTATCATATATATAACGTTATAGTACTACATGTCCATCGGTTGAAGTAATATTTGTAGCTGTATTTGTTGTTCTTTATGATTTGATTTGTTTAATTTATGTACTAACGCTTTTCGTTTTTGGTCAACTTTAACCGATCGTTGTGTGTTGTTGCGCTTGTTCGTACTTGGCTTTGGGCATTTATCATTAATTTGATTTTGATTCGCTTTTATATTTGAATGTGTAGATCAACAAATCAAACAGCGTGGGAGGTGGCAGTTCGGCGGCTTCGTTTGGCCAGAATACACCCACCGCAGCGCTGAATTCGGCTCGTGGCTCGTCCGTGTACAACTCGCGCCGCACGTCCATCGACAACAGCATGGGCTCTGATATGCAGCTGCCTGCACCGAACCTCAATGTTAACCATGAAGTTGCCGCTGCGACTGGCACTGAGGGCACAGCGAACGCTGAGACCGGCAGTGATAAGAAGTTGGCCAAACAGGAGAGTCTGGATAAGCTATCAAATACACTGACCGTGAACAGCGATACGAGAAATCCAAGTAATGGAGCTCTCAACCAGAGCTCCATAGCGGATCTAGAGAAAAAATTGGCTGCCTTACGCAATGCAGACAACACAGAGGAGGTAGATATCAATTCATATAATTATGTATTTATTCATTAAATGTGTTTATATGTTGCAGTCTAATGCTGCACCAGCTGTGCCAGCCGCCAAGCCCGCAGAGGAGCCTGTGGCTAGTGTGAACGCACGCAAGATATCTCGCTTTAGCGTTAGTCGCGTGCAGGAGCAAAAGACTTCGACAGAGGCAACGGAAGCTCTGCAGCATCAGTTGAAGATTGATCTGCAGGTCGCGGGCCTCGCTACTGGCCAGGGTCACAACTATAATGCCAGCAACTCTGTGCAAAATGGCACCGCTGTCAATACACCCACTGAGCTTATTAGTTCGCCCATTCAAAACGTTCCGATGGCCATAAATGGCATTCAGTTAATATATCAACAGCAGAACGCACCGGCAGGCGTTGGTGTGGGCGTGTTGGTGCCTCAAGGAGGTCAAGTTGCTGCTGCCGCTCAGCCAACAAATGTGCAAATGCAACAGCAACAACAACAGCAGCAGCAGCA